CCTCTCTTATATGAATCTATTATACAAATAATACAACTAAATTAATTATTGATAAATATAATTTATTAATTCATAATATTAATATTCTGCGGACTTATTGCGGACCTATATGAAACTCTCTAGTTAAGATGAAATATAATAAATGATTGCCGTCACAGATCACTTTTCATGTCTAATTTTTATGATCACTATACATTCAAATCAATTTAAAATCAATACGTAGATATTTAAAAAATTCTAAAAAAGTTCTTAGAGTTCTATGAAAAGAAAACAATTTTCGTCTCTTGCAGTTTTTCTGTAAAGTTGATAGTACTTGAGTAAAAAATTATTGAAGACTAATTTTCAACAATGTTTAGCAATTCATATCTTCTAACTATTGCAAAAATTGCAAAATGGAGGATTTTTCTTCTTCAGTTTAGTCTATTCTATCCCTATGCAAAAGATTTATCATTATTTTCCAAACATCCTGTATACATATATATATATAATAACGTAGTTTCTATCGTTTAATTTTTAAAAAATTCATATAATAAAATATTCTGCGACGGAAGTAATTAATTGTAAGTAGTATAGCGAAAAATCTATTACTATTGAAATAGCTTCGTTAAAAATGTTGTATTATATAGTATATTGTACCTTTTAAAAATCAGCATTTTGAGCTTCTTTTTATAATATTGAAAATTTCATTAATCTTTCTAGATAACAAAAAGTGTGCGAAAAGTCTCTGAATTATAAGACGTTTTTTTGCGTCTAAAAAAAAGACGACTCAAAGACGTCACAATTTTAGATTTGTGTTGTGTTGTTTCGACCTCGTTAATTACGGTCTGATTTGACTTATATATTTTTCCTCAATAGAACTAAAGGCTTTGAGTACTTATTTATTGTATGTTATATAAAAGCAGAAAAAATTAAGCCGTTTCTAAGAAATTCTTATGCTGATTCTACAATGAGTCTGTAGTCTTAGTCTCAATCAACGTCGGTTGTACAAGTTGGCTATTGATCAACTTCACTGATAAGACTTACGGATTATCAATTGCCGATTCATTGTAGAATCAGCATTACAGACGGATGGAAGGTCGGACCAACACTGTGAAATTATAAATTATTTGCACTGCTTAATAATTATGATGCATATTAGGTACATGAATAATTAAACTGCAATTGAAAGAATTAGAGATTTCTTTTCATATTCACCGGTTAATAGTTTCGTTGAGCACGTGCCTTGGCGGACGCCAGAGCTAAGATATACGCAGTGAATAGGCCGACGTGGCGTCGCATTGGCCTTGGTTTAGAAACCCTGGATCACGCCGTAGGCCTCAAGGGTGGACATGATGAGGTAGAGCAGCCAAAGGGAGAACAGGAACACGGACGTGATGAGTTTCGGTATAAAAGGTCCGCCCAATTCACCGCCGATCGACTTGACTCGTCTCACCAACAGCACCACGATCACGAAGCAAGCCTCGCTACAGAACAAGGTGACGGAGAAGGCCAAACTGCGTCATAAAAGAAAATCATTCAGATATAGTTGTGCAATGTAGGAAGCAATAGCAAAGTTGCATCTGCGATTTTTACAAGAGACGCGAGCAAGCAACCGACTATGAAATTAGCTCTCGGGAGCTGACGATGCGTCTGTTGGACTCACTTAATTACATTTCTCATGTTACAGCTGTTATTTTGAATTATTATCTCAAAATTCATTTATTAAAATAAATAAATTTATTTATCATCAAAATATTATTTTAATAATAAATTATTATTAAAATAAAATTAATACACGCACACATTCTTTATTATATATTATGTCATTTTGGTTCCTTGAAATTAAAAAAATATGTAATTTCATTTATTCAAAATAAATCAAATGGCTCTCGGCGTCAATTATATTACAGATTTTGACCTCAGCTTGATCTCAGCTGAAGGTTGAATTCTTTCTTTTTCACCAAGAAATTATTCAAATCTTTGTCTTTAATATTTTTAAAACAATATTATTTGAAGGCAGAGATTTTTGAAAATTGCAGTTCTCAATATTTCAATTGGTCATTATAAAAAAAAAAAAAAAAAAAAAAAACCTTCGAAATATGTCTTTCGAAATGATGTACTTACATTTATCAAATTTATATAAAAATCTATCAATTTTCAAAAACTTAGCAAGAAAAAAGATCGAAAGATATATTTTTCTTTCCAGTCCTTACTTTCAAGAATTCAACATTTAAGCTTTTGAAACTGACTTCATGAAAATGGAGTAAACTGTTCTGGTGCAACCACGTGCACAGATTCATCTCCAATTCCAATTTGGTCAAAACTATCATTGAAAGTCAATCAACGACTGAGCACTTGCTGCAAATTTGATCGCAGCCATATAGTACAACCTGTGTCCATAGCAATAGATTACATCTTAGAACACACCTGCGTGTACATTCGTGCACAATCTAAACAATCTATTATTCTTAATAAATTGTCGTGATATTTTAACTTCAAGCAGAAACATTGTCTCATCTAATCTTATTCTAAGATAAAGAGAATGTATTTTCTAAAATATAAAAAAAAAAGGGAACATTCTTTTGAACTAGAATTTATTGTAAAGTAAAATATCAGTTATTAAGAAAAACATAATAATCTTTACACTAAAAGTCAGTTTTAAACTGAGAGAAAAAAATCTATAATTCATTGTTTCACCTTGATTTTAATAAATAAAATTTATTCAAGTAGTAAAAATACGCATTTTTGTGTTTTGTAAAACAAAAAAAATTATGTTCCTAACAAAAAGTGTCTTCTATTTAAAAAATTAATTATTTCGCAACAAATCGCATTATGTATTAACGAAATTGTTTAGACGCAATATATAATCGATTGGAGATGTTATCTGTATTCATGTATTTGGTTTTCGTAAAAGAGACTATTTTTCAGCAAGATATATAAACGACAGTGAAACACAGAGTGTATTTCAACTGTGAAATACTACTCACTGTAAAAATCCAAGTACAAGCGTGTAAAATGTTTCAGTGTTTTCCAATATTGTAGAGAAATTTTATATAAAAATGTGTAACTTTTTTTATGCTTATTTTTAATAGAGAAGTCTGCACTTTGATAATTAAATTATACAATTATACTGTGTATATGGCTTTGTTAGATTATTATAATGACATAATAATAAAAATAATAACAGTAATACAACATATATTATTAATAGTATATATTATTAATTAGTATATATTATTGATATGTTACGTAAATGAGTACAATAAAAAGAGAGAAATGCACTCTCAGAGTAATTGCAAATTTATAATGTTCTCTCAGAAACTAAGTCTACACTCTCAAATCATTCCAACAAGTATCGTACACGACGCAACACAAAGTGTACTGTAGCGTGTTCTTGCTAGGGAACACCCAGCATCATCCGATACGAGATCAGATACAATGCTCCATTTCGCGGTTGACAATCCGTCGAAATCCTCATGAAATAGAATACAGTGTAGCGTAGTAGAGTAAAAAATTGTATATCACATAAGATATCTTTAACAGTTTCCTAGTATTCTAACAGCGACAAATATCCACGACAAATGCAATGTACAAAATGTTTGAAAAAAATAAAGAAATAGTCATTTCCTTCGTAATAGTATTATTATACGAACTCCGAGTTCTGATTTCGCTTCAATACTACGTCGAGTGTCTCTATTGATGTAGATAAATGGCCAATTTCTTGGGTACTTTCTTCGAAATTTCACAATTTCATAGCGCAGAACAATGGCAGTCGTGTTAAATGTCATCGTCGCGAGAGCGATGTTGGCCAAGTTGCTGTCATCGCGCTTCAACCAAATATCTTAGAAATAGTTTCATGAAAGCGATCGTAAATGGAGAATGGTGCTTTGTTATCGAGGTCACGTTTTATTTAATCTAACGTCTCGTGTTATCGTGGCGTATCCGGTGCCATTCGCATGATTTTGAGCTAGCGTGAAAAACGCGCTCGTGAATTATCAAAAAATCAATTTTGTTGCTAACTGATATAAACATGATGTGCGCGTCACACACATTCGCAAATATATATTTTTATTACGAGATAACAAAAATTACGAGAAATAAATGTTCAATGGTATCTCCAGAAATACTGATGTAAATTTATCAGCGTAACGTACAAAATAAATCATGAGGTATACTTGAGAAAAAACATTGCACATATAAAAAATATTATATAAGTAATAACAATATAAATAACAAATAATGTAATATATATATATATATATATATATATATATGTACAAAATGAAAAAATAATTGTTTATTACCTACTGTATCAGAAGTATCAGTTGTTTTGAGAAAAATATATTTTAAATGTTAATCATCACATTTTTGAAAATTACCATTTGAATTCGCTCAAGGTAGACTGTTTACTAAATTACGCATTTTTGTGCACACCGGATGTGTCCGTCCGTAATTGCTTTTCCCTACTTACTTGCCAGGTTCGACAAGGAACGGTTCGCTGTGGCAAGCACGGTAAATGGCGGCGATGCTCCACGCGACGCCGATTCCCAGGAAGACATTTACCGCGTTACTTCCAGTCACATTGCCTACACTCGCGTCGGCATACTTGTCCTGGCAGGCGGCCACTTTGCTCGCGAACGTGTCTGAAATAATTCGGAGTCTCGATTACTTTGACAAGTGCACAGAGCTGTTAATGCACGAATAACAATAGCATGATTTATTACACCATTATGTTTGAACGTTACAATTATCATAATATGTATCAGACGACAGACATGTCTAAAAGACATCATATTACATTTTTCGACAACACGTACGTGTCTTAAAGATATTTAAAAGACATCGTAAAGGCTTCTTTTTAGAAATAGATACATCTTGAGTATTTAACATGTAATTATACTATATATCGTATAAGTTATTTTGAAGGTTTCTATTGAAGATAAATTTATTTTTTCTTACGTTATAATTTTTTACAATTAATTTATGCTTACTTTTATAAAACGATTAACAAATTATTTTCTAATTAGTAGTGCAATTGAAAGGAAAGTGATTTTTCGTGAAAAAATAAATGTGGGACTTTATATTATTCGCATATCCTTTCGTTTGATTTTGAAAGTAATAAAGCCCTTAATCTCTGTACTACTTGTTTGCAAATAACATCGTTATTAAATTTGTTGAAAGATTTGCGCACGAATTACCATTATTGATTCCCAATATTCCTATTCTTATTATTCTTGAACACTGCAAGTCTATATATACTCTATTTATATATTTTGAAAAATAAATAATACACTGCAAATTTTATATCACGTGTTTCTCTTCTCTTTTATGAAAAAGTTTGAATATCTTTTCTTAGGCTCGGTATATATAGAAATATGCATCAGTGATAAATATTTTACGTAGGAGGTTAAAAAAAAAAAAAATTAAAAACATGTCGTCGCGTTTTATAATATTTCCTAGATATAAAAATAAATAAGTAAATAAATTTTTAACAATCAAAGTGTTGCGTTCGTTATTCAATTCATTCTTAAAAATACATTTCTTTACCGAGTTCAAGGTTAACGAGCCCAAGGTTGTAATTTAACCGATATTGCTTTTTATTTATCCGCAAGTTTAACGCTTCATTCGCGGCGTAATGCGAGATAAAAACCCGTATTTCACGCCACGGTACCATGTGTATGACCCACGCAAGTAATGAAGTGGCTTTTTAGTACACATTCTGTCTCAGGAGAATCAAAGATCGTCAACCGCACTTAAAACCATTGTGTGCCGCAGGATTTGTGGCAACGGCTTGGAATATGCGGCTTGTACAGTTTTGCAGTTTATGGCAGCGTAAGTTCGGTTACGGAGTTGTGAGCAGAGTAAGCGCTCGTTGTTGTACAGGGCAAGAAAATCCCGTAATAACAGAGCACATATGTGAAATGTACCTATATGTTCAATAACAACTTGATAAAACGTGCGCTCCAAATTCGCGTGCGATAAATATGACGATTTTCAAAATTATATAATATATATCGGCACAGATGTGGACGAAAATTCAATCTAAAAAATTTGTTCAAAGCAGTTGTTTTTATTTTCTAAAATAAAAATATTTTTACATTTTAAATTAACGAGATAAGAATATTTAAAAGGGATTATCTTATTTACATTGAAAAAAAAAATTTATTAACTCTTAACAATTTCTTTGAATAGTACTAAATAAATATTTACTTACAGTAATATCTACTTACAGTAAATAAATATTCACTCAATAAAAAAATTATAATTAAATCAAATTTTCTGTTTACTCTGCGTTGCTGCTATAATGTATTTCCTATTGTATATATCAACAATACAATAATTAATTAGTCGAATTAGCAAGGAGGATTGTTTATGCTGGGCTTATGTCGTCAGTGTATATCTTTGATATTACTACTGCAGCAGTAACGCTCAGCAATTCATCCACCGTGAATAATAGTCAACCTTGTCTTGTATTAGTGCAAGATGGCAAATTTATTAATTATCTCAATGTTTGTTTTTGACAATTAATTTGTAAATTAAATAATTACGATTAATTATTAATCAATAATTATAAACTTAACAAAGGTCAATTAACAATTAAAACAAACGGAATTCGAAGCAATAATCGACAAGTACATATTCGTACAATTGGATAATTGATTACCCAATAGATTTTCGCATTCGATAGCATTAGAAAGAGATCTAAAGTATTCTTCTCTAGTACTAACATAAAAATCAAATTGTACAAACTCAAAATCTTAAAAATAAAAACTCAAATAAACAATTTATACAGAGCCTCTAAGAGTCATAGGCTGATTACAGTGCCAACGATTAAATTCTATACCATTAAACGATTAAATTCTATACCATTAATCTTCTTTATTTTAAACATTTCGGTTCTCTTTGGAGTCCACTTGAGCAATACATATTTCAAATTCTAATTCATTGAACTTTCCGTCAAATGTGAATCACTAACAGGTTCCCAATTGAAGTGGGAATCCTTAAACGAGAAGTTCAATATAAAATTCCATAAAATTTTGGAAGTTTATATTAATTAAATTATTGAAACAATTATCTCAGTTTTGTACATATTAACGATTTATAAACTTTCCTCTCCATTAGATCAATGCTTTTGACTACCCGGAATCTGTTAGTGACTCACATTTGACAGAAAGTTCAATGAATTAAAAATCTTAAATATTTAAAAATTTATAAGATTTTTTATATAGATGTACGATTCGCTTTGCTATTTGCCATTTGTGTGATTTAACGCAATATAATTCTTGATATCATGTTGCGTAGGCAATATCATGTCTGAGGCAACTCTGTATTCTAAATAAATCTCATCTTTCGATTTTTTGCCGGTAATACGAGAAGAAGATCGTCAAATCGATCTCGATGAGCGGTACTTTGGGAGATCGGAGGTACCCTTCGGCATAAATATTGATGAGATTCTAAGAGAAGAAAGTTTCTTGTAAAGTTTCTAAAGAGAGAAGAAGCACACAGTGGCCTAAGTAAGTAATCCAGCCTAGAAGCTGTGCGTCAAACCGCATCGATATTCAGCCGATATAGGGACTTGGTAGAGATTATTTTTGGAATAAACATAATTTCGGAATTCGATATTCTCTGATGTAATTTAAAAAGAGATATCTTTACTGTGAAAGTTAAATTAATAATTAAAATTATTACAGATAGAAGGTAAGATTACTGCACGTAGTAGTTCCCTGTGAACATTAAAATGCAGTAGCTGTACGTTCATTGAACATTAAGATGTTAGAGAGACACATTTAGGATAATCAATTTCGAGCCTCTGTTTTAGATGTAAATTTCGAACGTAACCTATTGGCCCAGAAACTTGAAATGACGTGACTGTCGTTACGCTTTTAATAGCTTTTGATAACACCCACTCAAATGATTTATTAAATGCCCTTGTCGTGAATTTTGTATAAAAATAGAAGACAAAGGTCAAGTCATAATTATTTTTGAAGATTTGTTAATGTAAATGATTTCTGTAAATATGACTACACATATTTTTTATAA